CCGGATACGACTCCGCCGGGGGGGAGTGTATGCGAAAGTCTAGTTTTCTGTGTGGTTTTTTTCACTAATCTGGAGGCAGACGATGCAGGAGACCAAGCTTTCCTCTTCAGCTTGGGCTCTCAAAAACCCCAGCAACGGTGAAGGACTGCGCTCAGACCTCCACCTAGAAATCTTTTCAGAGAAGGAAAATAGAATTTGTTCGCGGTCTGTTCCTGGGAGCCGGGGAGGGGGGTCAGTACAAGGACAGCATATGCTCCCAAGCTACAGCCTAGAAAGGCAAGATCTGGGGAGCAGACACTCCTGCCTGCAAAGGCAGGACAGAAATGACAGCGAGCAAAGAGAAAAAGGCTGTTGGCATCAGAGGTGCAGCTCTGCATTAATATTCGGTTTACCTCCTATTGCCCATTTCCGATTAGAAGGAAACCCACTTCTTCCCAATTTAAATCCTCGCCTTGTTCAAAGACTAATGTCCGGTCCCGGCACATTTCAAACACTTTCGGTCAGTCTTGGAAATATTTTGACCATTTAGTGACAATGATGGGAAAGACCTTGGTTGGTAGGCAGTGTTACCTTTGCCTTCCTTCCTTCCTTCCTGCTTTCCTTCCATCCATCCATCCATCCATCCATCCATCCATCCATCATCTCTCTCTGTAAAGCTCTCACTAGGACGTTGTTGGTCCAGGTTTGAGCCTGCCTGTGTCTGATGTGGGATTTAATGCCATGAGGAGTCATAGGAAGAATGTCGAAGAGAGAATTTTAAAAAGAGCCCCCGAACCACACAAACCCTTATATTTTGGGCTGCTTCTCTGCCAAGCAGAGAACTGATGGGTACAGAAACGCAAGGTTTCGTGCAGGGCAGTTAAGACGGCAAATGTTATGCCAGGCTTTGATTTTTACAAAGCCTTATTTATTGGTGAGCTGCTGGCCTCGAGATGATTATTTTTCAGCCACTACAAAACAAACCGAATCAGGGGCCAGACGTGTATTTACTGGAGGGGGAGGGGAAGGGGACTTGTTTGCTCTGTGTGTGTGTGTATGTGTGTGTGTGTGTGTGTGTGTGTGTGTGTGTGTGTGTGTGTGTGTGTGTCGGCTTTATGCTTTTTATTCCTGCCATGTAAGAATCCGGTTTCCAAATAACAATGGCAGGGTGGGGTTTTGGGTAGGGATTTTTTTTTTTTCGGGTTTGTTTTTGTTTCTTTATTCAAGAAAGAGAAAAGAAAAGGAAAACTCCTAAAGCATCTGCTCTCAGATACACATTCACAACACATGCAGATCGCAGATCGACTTCTCTGCTCCCACATAAGTGGTTTAAAAGCCCAAACAGCCAGGGCAACGGTTCTGTCTTATGTTTTAATTTTTATTTTATTTGGGTTTTTTGGTCCCAGCCACCCTCGCCCCGTCAACGTGACTTTTATTTGATTCCCCCCTTGCTCCCTTTATCGATCACGGGCTTCATCTGCTTTAGCCGAAATGAGGAAAGGGGCTGCGGGGGTTATATTTTAAGCCCCTCGCTTTGTTTGTTTGCCTCCCGAGGCAGGATCACATGCCAAAGCGTACATCGATATTTTCCGAGATCGGCGCGCCTCTCCCCGCGCCACCCCTTCCCCTCGCCTAGGGGGAGACGGGGGGTGGGTGGGGGGGTGACTCCCCCAAAAAATCAAGAAGCCACCGACAGTGCGGGGCTGAAGACGGCCACCGGCGCCGAGCGGGCCCGTGCGGTGCGGGGCCGGGCGGGCGGTGGGGCGGGCAGGGCTCGGGGCGGCCGCTCCGCCATTAGCCGGTGGCCGGGGGCGCCCGGATGGACGGGGCGGCTTGGGCCAATGAGCGGGAGCCGGGAGAGCGGCCGGGCGGCGGGTGAAGGCGGCGTTGGGAGAGGAGCCGCCAGTGCGGGCGGGGAGAAGGAGAGAGGCCGGGGGAGGGAGGGAAGAAAAAGAGGGGGAGGGGGGGAATAAAAAGCCGCCGCCTCAGCAGCGCCCACCGAAATAAACAGAAGAGCGAAAGGCAGCGAGGGCCCGGGCGGAGCGGGGCTGCAACTCCGCCGCCGCGGCTCTCCGGCACTCCCCGGCCCCTTCCCGCCCCCCGCCTCCCCTCCCCACCCCCACCGCCGCCCTTATTGTTTTTAATCCGCCTCCGGCACCCCCCCTCCTTGCCCCCCTCCTCACGCCCCTCCGCCGCGGCGGGCGGGGGCTGCGCGGCGCGGGGCACCCCCCGGGTCCCTTCGCTCCGTGGGAACCCGCGGCTGCAAGTTTTTCTCCGTGAGAGACACCGCTAATGCCCGGCGGAGGATAAAACGAGAAGCGGAGGCCCGGGAGCGGCGGGGGGCNCGGAGCGGCGGCGGCCCCGCGCCCGGGCGGGCGGGCGGCGGCAGCCCGGAGGCGGAGGCTGTAGCGGGGAGGCGGCAGCGGCCGCAGCGTCCCCGGAGCGGCGCGGACCATGCTGCTGGACGCCGGCCCGCAGTTCCCGGCCCTCGGAGTGGGCACCTTCGCCCGGCACCACCACTCGGCCGCGGCGGAGATGCAGGACCGGGAGCTGAGCCTGGCGGCGCAGAACAGCTTCGTGGACTCGGCGGCGGCGCACATGGGCGCCTTCAAGCTCAACGCCGGCGCCCACGACCTCTCCCCCGGGCAGAGCTCGGCGTTCACCTCGCAGGCGCCCGGTTACCCTGCCGCCGCCCTGGGCCCCCACGCCGCTCATGTCGGCTCCTACTCCGGGGCGCCCTTCAACTCTACCCGGGACTTCTTGTTTCGCAGCCGGGGCTTCGGGGACTCGTCGCCGGCCGGCGGACAGCACGGCATCTTCGGCCCTGCGGCCGGCAGCCTGCACCACCCGCACACGGACGCTCAGAGCCACCTCCTCTTCCCGGGCATCCACGACCAGCACGGTCCCCACGCCTCCCAAAATGTTCTCAACGGGCAGATGCGACTGGGCTTGCCGGGGGAGGTATTCGCCCGGTCGGATCAGTACCGCCAGGTTTCCAGCCCCAGGACTGACCCTTACTCGGCGGCTCAGCTGCACAACCAGTACGGCCCCATGAATATGAATATGGGCATGAACATGGCAGCCCACCACCACCACCACCCAGGTGCCTTTTTCCGCTACATGCGGCAGCAGTGCATCAAGCAAGAGCTCATCTGCAAGTGGATCGATCCCGAACAGCTGAACAACCCCAAAAAAAGTTGCAATAAAACTTTCAGCACCATGCACGAGTTGGTCACCCATGTCTCGGTGGAGCACGTTGGGGGACCCGAGCAGAGCAACCATGTCTGCTACTGGGAGGAGTGTCCCCGTGAAGGCAAACCTTTCAAAGCGAAATACAAACTGGTCAATCATATCCGAGTGCACACGGGAGAGAAACCCTTCCCCTGCCCCTTCCCTGGCTGCGGAAAAGTTTTCGCCAGATCAGAAAATCTCAAAATTCACAAAAGGACGCACACAGGTAATTCGGGTTTCTTTCGCCAGATTTCCTCCCTCTGCCCGTGCCTATATATGTGTGTATATATATATATGTGTAAACTGATAGATACTCAGACAGAATGATGTTAAATTAGGAGAGTGATAAAATAAGCTTCCAGTTTATTTTTTTAACCCTCTCCATCACATGGCTGCGTTTGTTTTGGTTTATTCCCCAGCAGCATACACCCCCCTCCATTCCAGATTTCGAAGGGATATTTTACTGATTTGTTTTAAATTGGGAGTGAGAGCTGTAGATTCGTGCTGAGGTTGAGCAGAGTCTTTCCGCAGAAACGCGGAATACAGCGCTAACCAAATTTTGCCGTCTTGCTAAAATACGGGAAGACATCCGTCCGTCCGTCCGTCCATCCATCCATCCATCCATCTGAAACGCCTCAGTCATTTGCTCTATGCAACGTATTCGCATAAAACTTCAGCGCTTGTGAGCATGGCTTCTATTTATGGATGCCGAGAGAAACTATATAAATACTTGCAAAATCAATCATTAGTCCTAAATCCCGTTAGAAGTGGCAAAAAGTCCCTTTCTGGGAATGTTTTCCATTAAATTTAAATGGTGTGAGCAAGGCAATAAAATTTTCTCATTTAAAAAAAATTGTTTTTAAGGTCTCACTCGATGTGATTTAAGGTGTTTTTGCAACAGTTTATTAAATTATGTAATAGGGAACCAGAGGATTTGAGGTTCGGAAACTTCCACCCAAATCAGGTGGAAGAGGATCGAGGGAGCTCAGGCTTTCCTGATGGAAAATCGCCTGAGCCGAAGGGTAGCAAAAATAAACGCATCCTCCCTCCTCATCTATTATTCATTTACTACTCCTGCCGGCTCAAACCGTGCCAGACTATTTCATAAAAGGCGGCCAAATATTTTAGCGACTTCCACTCCAAATATTTACCCGGAGAAAGGCTAAAAATCTCGAGGCCTATTGTTTTCTCAAGTGCTAAGCCCGATGCGAGGTGCGAGACGAGCTTTAACAAGGTTTAAAATTTGAGAAATGTATTTGCATGAGATGCCCGCACTGAAGTCATTGTGTCTGAGCGGATGTCTTTAAGAAACAATTTAGGTGCTAATCGAATCTAATGTTAAATGCTTCCCCCTCCAAAGGCGGGGGAATGTGGAGTTCTCACCTCCAAAGTACTCCCCGGCATTTGGAGTCCTGGCAGCCGGGCGAGAGGAATCCCTATGAAAATTAAATGAAGTATTTTACAGACGTTTAGTTTTCCCAGCGGATGTGCGTTTATCTCGAATATCCATACACGAAACAATATACCCGGCCTTAAATCTGTCGGTAATGGTTTCCAGTTTAACAGGATAGCGGATTTGGTACCGAGGCGAAACGGCTCGGTGATGCTTGTTTGGTTTGGTGTTTTTTTTTTTTTTTTTTTTTTTTTTTTTTAATCGTCTTTCTTCTTCAATCCCTTTCGGGGTCGGCACCCGTCGAAATAAAATCAGGCAAGATGCCGGGACATCCCCGGGGTTTTGGTAGGAAAAGCAGGAGGGGGACAGGGGTTGCCTCGCTTCAGGGCAAGGCGTGAGCGATGCGGCCCTCCCGCGCTGCGGGTACCGGGACACAGCCTCCCGGCCCCTTGCTTTGGGAAACTGCTGTACGGAGCGACTGGGAGAGGAGGGCGAGGGCGGGGAAACTCGGCGCGGGGCTGTGCGGGGTTTGCGCGGGGGCGGCCGCGCTCACCCCGCTGCTGCGCCGCTCTCTTGCAGGGGAGAAGCCCTTCCAGTGCGAGTTCGAAGGCTGCGACCGGCGCTTCGCCAACAGCAGCGACCGCAAGAAGCACATGCACGTCCACACCTCGGATAAGCCCTACCTGTGCAAGATGTGCGACAAATCCTACACGCACCCCAGCTCCCTGCGGAAACACATGAAGGTACCCGGCCCCGCAGCCGGCGGCGGGAGGCGGGAGGGCGGCCGCCCATCGTCTGCCGCATCAGCGGCGGCGGCGGCGGCGGTGGCGGCGGGCAGGAGGGACCGAGCGAGCCCGCCGGAGACGCGCCGGGAGATGCCGCCGCACCCGCCGGCAGCGAAATGACGGCCGAGCAGGATGGGGACAGGGGGCCTTCATCTCCCCATACCCTCCCGCCTTCTCGTCTTTTTTTCTTTTTTCTTTTTTTTTTTTTCCTATATTTTTTTTGTTGGATTTTTTCTTTTTGAAAACATTTTGAACCAGCAAAAAATTTCCAAAAACTACGTGCTGAAAAAACACAAGAGAATGAGTAAATCAACGGAGGAACGGAAAGGGGAGAAAGAGAGAGAGAAACAGAAACAGCCCCATGCTCCACCAACACATCACCCAGCTAAAAGCTTCCCAAGCCGGCGGAAAGAAACTCTCCCTCCCGAGTCTTCAGACAAAAGATCAGAGACTCAAACTCCTCTGGTCCCCGCGCCTCCCCACCCGGAGCAGCCAGCGCCCTCCCGTCCCATGAACTGTGTATATAGCGGCCCTCTCCTTCCTCCGGCGAGGTGGGGAACGAGGTTTTCCTGGATTGTCGGTGTATAGAAGTTCGTCCCGTTTGTAAACCGCTATATGGTCCTCTTCTTCTTCTTCTTCTTCTTTTTTTTTTTTTTTAATCTTTTTTTTTTCCTCCCTCTTTCTCCCTCCCCGAGAAAGTGATGGACTTGTTTTCTTCTCTCCTGCTCTCCCTCCCCACTTCCTTCTCTTCTCCTTTTTTAGTTCATCCCTTTTAAAAAAAGTAACGTGGAAGAAAAAAAAATTTGGTTTCTTTTGTAATTGTGATATCTTGAATATTGTGTTCCTTTTTAAGAAGCAACTTGATTGTAAACTGCATTTCAACTATAGACTGGGGAAGAAATACCGTGCCAAAGTCTCCATTCTGTTACTCACAGACACACACACGAACAACAACGCTTGTGAATGTATTTTTCTGTTAGCTGGGTTTACATGTGATGTTTTAGTGCTTTTGCAAGTTCAATTTGTTAGTTCCTGTTCGGAAGATTGTGAGGAAAAATAAACGTCGTGCCGTTAGCTTTTCCGTAATAACGCCCTTCCTCCTGTAAATACCTGTTACCATATTTATCCATTTGTAATTAAATTATGGTATTAACTTGCTACAGAGGAAACAGTATTTATAAAGAATGTTTCTTAACTATAAATATGTACAATTGTGAGCATAAACTGTTTCAGATTTTTTATTTGAAGGTTTAAGTGGTTTCATCATTTCTTGTGATATGTTTTGAGAGTAATGCATACAGAAATATAATAAAACGTGTTGAAACTGCACGAGCTGTTTCCTTTTTATGCCAAAGGCTCTCTAAAACCTGCTATAAGGTATGTGATGAGCTGAGCAGCGACGGCAAAACAAATGCTTTTTAAACTTCCGCTGGTTACTGGAAGAGGAGGATTCCATCCAGAAGGAAAAAAAAAGGAAAAAAAAAAGAAAAGAAAAAAAGAAAAAAAAACCATAAAAACCCCTAAAACTTTGTGAAGCTTCTGAGCTGAAAGGAAAGGGTGAGGGAGGGTATGCATGTTCTCCACATGACTTTCAAGGCAGGATCTCCTTTAGTAAGATATTTTCGCGGTGAGAGCAAGCACATCTTCCTCCGGCTCCTGCCTTCCTCGGGCTCACCCCTCGCTCCCCGGTGCGCGTCTGGCTGGGGAGATCATTGCCCCAGAGGCTGAGAAAGAGGGGCGTTTCGGGACCGAGGTGGAGGGGCAATGACAAGGCTCTGAGCTCGGCTGCTTTGAGCCATAGATGGTCCTTGCCTCCAGTGTTGTCATCTTTTTGTCAGCCTCCATACAGTCCGGGAGAGGAGAAAGTTGTGATGTCCGAGAGCTCACATTTCCCCTTCGAGTTTTTTAGCTTTCTCTTTCTCTGTCTCTATTTTTTTAAATTATATTTTATTTATTTTATTTCACTTTATTTTAGCCCAGAGAGAGGTTTAGGTTGCCAGATATGTTCAGGGAGGGATGGAGAGCAGTCGGGCGATGACTTTCCCGGGCTGCTGGCCCGGCGTTTGGCTCCAAGTGCGACGTCGGGGCCCGGCCGGTGCAGGGCAGCCGGACAGCAGCTCTGCGGGCACAGCCCGCCGCACCGGGACAGGCAAGGCGAGTGTGACAGCGGCAGGGAAATCGTGGAAAAAGTTCGGCCTTGTCAAGCCACCGAAATACGCCCTGCGAAGAGGCAGCGCTGAGAGCCGGGCTCCGAGCGCCCTGCGGTGGCTGCGCTGCCTTCAGCGGCAGCTTGTGCAGCCCGGGAAAGCCTCTGCTCCTCACACCCGGCCGAGCCCATCGCTCACGCCCCCCCGGGCCACTCGTCGCTTTGGGTTTTTCGTGCTTTGTGCCGTTTGTTCAAATATCAATAGAGCCGTCTCCGGCCGGTGTGAGAGGGAGTTAGGTGAGGAGATGAGGGTACACGGGGCCCTGCTCACTTCTGGGGTGAGATGAGGGTTACCTACACCCAGGGGAAGGGGAGGAGGGAGGGAAAGACACCCCCTCCCCCCTGTCCCGCCGCTGACAAGGAAGTTTAGATGTGGAGCGGATCCGGAGCTTCCTCGGCGGCCGTGCTCTTCCCAGAGCGGCCATCCCCGCACACCCGGCAGCTCCCCGGGTAATCAAACTGCTATTAAAACATAATTTATGTTCGGTAATAATGTTACGTAAAAAAAATATTTATTAACATCATTGGCATATGCCGCCTGCCCCTTGGAGACATCCGTGGGAAATGCAGCTGAGAGGATCCCTCCTTGTCCTGCCGGCCTTCCCACAGCTGAAAAACCATACGGGAGTCCAGCTTCAGAGCTTATCCCTGCCAGCCACCGTCTGCCCAAGTCCCCTCCTGGGCCCAGGGGCTCACGAGCAGCCTTGCCCAAGAGCCACCAACCCCTCTCCGCCGTCCTCCGCCCCGGTGGGCTCATCTCAGACTGGAGAGAAGCTCTCGGCAGCTGGGCTCCCCTTCTCCCTCCCCTCGGAGCCGTTCGGTCTTCGGGGGAGCCCAGGGATGATCCTTGAGGGGGCTAGGCAGCCTCCCTCTGGCCAAAGCGCAGGCCGTGTGGCGGCAAGGACAGCCCCAGTCCCTCCGGCAGGGATGCTTTTCCTCCGGCAGGCCCAGGGACGCGGCCGTGACGGCTGTGGCAGTGAGTAAGCTCCCCCTCCTTCCCTGTCCTATCCAGGCTGGCCTTGAACTTGACCCTCGCCTTGGCGCATCCCGCCCGCAGCCCCTCTCCATCCGCCTCCCTCTTGCCCTGACCCTGGCCCGGCCCTGCCACGCTTAAAGGGGAGCGGGAAGTCATCAGGTTCAAGGGTTGGGGTTTTTTTAGAGGGCAGAGCAGCCAATATCCCTCTCACAGCCATGCGCGAGGGTGGCCCACTGGCCCCGAAGTCCTCCTCTTATCCCCTCTCCTTTGTCCACCTGGACACTGTCAACCCCAAACCCCTCCCTCTCCTCAGCTTTGTCTCCTACACTGAACCTGCACGTGCCAAATCTCCCTGTCCTGGCCCTGAAGACAGCTTGGGAACCAATCTGGAGGGAGGCCTGAGGCTTCCCCAGCAGTCCCGAGCCTGCCCTGGCATTCCAGAATCCCCTCATGCCCAGCCACAGCGAGCGGGTGCCCCGGCCGCCGGCCCACAGCCCCGGCCTCCCTGGCCCGACGGCTGCCCGCTCGCCTCGGCCCCACGGCCCCGCCGTCGGTGAGCAGCGGGAGGCACGGCGCTGTCGGCATCCCGTGCCCAGCTGTGGCAGCCCCACTTGGCCGGCTGTCCTGCCGTGGGGTGAACCTTCCCTTATACGGTGAAAAACAGCATGGAGGGGTGGGTTTAATTTTTATCTTTGTTAGTAATAATGAAATCCTCTCCTAACTCTTCCTGCGGACCCCCTGAAAAGACGGATTGATTTCCCTGGGAATTACTCTGTCTTCTCAAGCCAAAAAATTTGAGGATCCGTCCATAAAACACGCTGCGCTTTGCCCCCCGCACCCGCAACTGGAGGGCAGTTCAGGGCTCTGCCTTCACCTGCCCCCGCTCTGTTCCACCTGGCTTGGCTGCTCTAGCGGCTTTGGGCTCCAGCCGGTGGTGGCGGAAAAAAACCCCAACCCAAAGGTAAACCAACCTCCCAACAAACAAACAGACGTGACAACAGCCCAGACCGAAATAGAATAAAATGCAGGAGCTCTCGCCCGAACCCGAGCGTGGAGCGGCTGCTGAGCCTGGCCGTGCCGCGGGCGCTGCCGGTGCCGGCGGTGCTCCGCAGCGGGCAAGGGGCTGCCCCTGCACGGCCAACCCCCGCCGCCGGTGCCGGGGGCAGCAGCCCGGGCTGCAGCCGCTCCCTTTGGCTCTGGCCAGACCTCCCCAAACCCGTATCAGCCTTTTAAGTTTCCCCTTTGTTTTCAGAAACTCGTACACATTTCCTGCCCGCTATGAAGACATAGCAGGCTCCCCCAAACCTCTCCCCAGCCACAAGTGCATGCTAAACGTTCTCCCGGGCACAGCGAGGTATGTATATTTTTCAATTTGTCATCTTCACGCATGGTTGTGAGGGTTTTTTTTTCGTGGTTTTTTTTTTTTTTTGTGCTTTTTTTGGGGGGGTGTTTTTTAATTTCGTGGGTCGCTTTTTTCCCTTCCTCTTTTTTCCCTCCTCCTTTTTTTCATTCCTCTTAGGTTTTGGATTTTTTTTTTCCCCTATTGTTTTTGGGGTTTTTTCCTCTTTTCCCCGAGCCAGACGACCAGGGATGGAGCTGCATATTAGCAGCAGAGCAAGCAAGAACTATTGTCCCACCCTGCAGGGCACGGTGCCCCCCTCTGTCCCAAAGTGCAAGCCTTCCCCAGTGCTTAGGGTTTCCTCACTTTTCTTTCTTTCTTTTTTTTTCTTTTTAAAATTTATTTTTCTGGACGGTTTCTCTGTCTTTAATACTTTTGGGAGAGAGAAAAGAAGAAAAGAAAAGAGAAGAAGAAGGAGAAGGACAAGACGACCGGGCGAGGGAAGACCTTCGCTAGAGGTTTCATGTCTTTAATAAACACTTCAAAGTGGCTGCCTAACTGCTGTCCGGAGAAAAGGAAGCGCGGCACCAAACAGACCG